TTGTTGCCACACTTGATGAGCAGGGAAGAATTGCTCTGGCTAGCAAATTGTTTGGGTTCATTATCCCATCTGCGCTTGACATGGAGCCCGAAAGCAACATGCTTGCTGCTGCTGTTGTGGTTGATGCCATGGCCATTGCAGCTGGAGGCAGAGGGTGGTTATGGTTGCCTTCATATGTTGTGATCAATATGGTTCTGTCCTCAGCACAACGTTGTACCTATCAAATAATTAACATATATATATATATGTATCAGTACTTTTAAATCTAACCAGTTTTAATTAAATTTTCAAATTGATCATATCATTAAATTGAAACATACTTGTTTGCGAACAGGACAACCAACAGCCATGGTACACCTATAATATGCACGAGGACATGGGTTTCCTTTTGCCATCTTTTGTCCGTATTTTCGCCATTGACATCCATCAGTAATCTGCAATCAAACGATCAATCGCGATTAATTCATCAAAGATGGAGACTATGAATTAATTTATTGTTGCTGAGTGAAGTTGAACCATCTTAATTAATTACTTACCATGGGAGCTTCGGATCTGGCTCGAACCGATACGCGGGCTTTCCTCATGGTGGCCTCGGTGGATTGATCAATTGGCTTATTAGCTGCAGAGTTGTTGAGCTTAGGAGCCTTGTTGGGCACCCAGCCTTGTGATTCAGATTCAGGACTCTCTTCCCTTCCAACCCTTTTACCATCCCTGAAATTGTTAGAGTTTTCGGGATCCAATGGACCAATCGGATGATCATTTTTCTTCAGGTGATGATCTTTTGATGATGCAGCTTCATTAATGTTCTGAGGTGAAGCCGATCGGGTTCTGGCTTCTGATGAAGAATTGGAAACTTGGTCATCGGTCTCGGCTGTGGCTCTGGGGCCCAAGTCTAGAAACTGCCTTGGCACCAACCCTTGTTTCTTCTCTTGATCAGCCTTTGCTTCAACATTCTGAGAATTAATTATACCAACAACAAATAATAATATGTTAAGCTATTTGGCTCATATAGTTAATCGAGTTTTGATCATTAAGGCAAACCATATTGAATTATAGGTACCTGATCATGTTTTAATTGAGAGCTTTGATCAGCCGCGGCTGTGTGATTTTGCTGCTGCTGCTGTTGTTGCATTACAGCCGCAACATGCATCTGCAGAGCACTGTAGTTGTTGGTCACCTGACCAAGCATTTCTTTCAGCCTCAGATTTTCAGAATTCATACGTTGGAGCTCCACTTGCAACTGTGCCAGCTGATTATGATGATCAACCCAAAATTTTATATTATTAATTAATTAAGTGGGTAATACTAATAATAACATCCTTAAATAGCATAATTAGCAAGCAACTAATAGAAAGTTGATCAACTTTAGTCTAAGAATAGGAAAATTCTGATCATGAATTTGCTTTCAGGTGGGTGTTCATCTCATTAATTACCTCATGATTCTTTGCTCTTTTGTTATCCACATCGGATGAAATCCCATCATCAACCATTGACTGATCACTTCCGGTGTTAGCAGTAACAAGGTGCAGGCCAGTCTATTTTTAGATTTTTTTATAAAAAAAGCAACAACAAGAAGAAAAATAAGTACCACTGAAAATTAAATATCTGTTACATGCAAGTAGTAGTAGTATATATATATTAATGAGAACGAATTATTTTCCATATATAACAAATAAGAAATAAATTACCAAAAAGAAAACTCAAAATTGAAATTGTGTGGGGTGCTTACATTTACATCCAAGCCAGTCCAATTCTCCTTCTTGACGCTGATTGTACCTTTGGATTTCATATCCTGATGATGATCATCAGTGGTGGTTGTATTGTGCTTATTCTTACGATCAGAAAAGAAGTCGACCTCATCCACAACCACACGATTATTGTTGTCATGAATGGATGGCTGTGGAGCAGCCAGCTGGTCTTCCCTGCCGCCAAGTTTGACGGGGAATTCAATACCCGGAAACATCCTTTCTCCACCAAAAAAATTGCTTATCTTGCTGTTGTTTTGATGATGATCGAGCTTAACGGCAGCCGGAGGCTTGTTGAGGAAGAAGCCGAAGGAGTCAGAATCAAGGGTGAGCCCCCATCCTTTGTCCATAAAATTATATAGTATTTTGGGATGAACAGATGAAGAAGTTGATGCAGAAGAGCAACAAAGACAGATAAACTTGCAGAGAGAAGAGAGAAAGACAGAAGAGATGAGAAGGGATAGGTTTTAAGGGAGTGAGAGAGGAGAGATGGGGAAGAGGGCAGAGAGAGAGAGAGAGAGAGAGAGAGAGATGAGGGGTGTGTGTGGGTGAAGTCTGTGAAGTCTTTTACCGGTGCAATGCGTTCGCCTATAAAAAGGGTATGGACGTAGACCAAATTGAGAACAACTAGATTGGATTTGTGAGAAATTCGTGGGATTATTTATTTTCTTATTTATTGATTTTTCCTTCGACACTTGCGTCAGTTGGTGCGTCAGTCTGCCACCTGTCCATACGGGCCACTCTCTTTTAACTCCATTGTGACCCGACCCACATAATAAGATTACACACAAATAAAGTCACAAATAAGGCAAAAGAGGTAGGTTTGAGTTAAGTCAGTTAGTCAGGGTAGTAACTTTCTTTACATTTGAATTCAAATTCTCTTTTCGATAAATTAGATTAATTTAAAGTAGTTTAGACTATCACTTTAAGCCAGTTAGTAAGGTAGTAAGCTCGTCTTCTTATACTCAAATTCAAATGTATCTTTTTAAAAATTAAATTAATTAAAATTAATTTAGGCTATAGCTTGCTTGTATTAAAAATAATAATAAAGTAAAAGAGTGTTTTTGGGGTGGGGTTTCGTCCACATTTCGTCAAGAAAGAGTTTGACTCATTCTCATAAATCAAAGGAAAGTGTATGACACAACAAAAGGACGAAAGAAAGGAAAAAAGAAATGAATCCCACCGCCCCGAAGTGTGCGGCGCGTTCCACGTGAGGAAATAAGAAAAAAGAGCAAAAGGGGCCCAATTGGCCCAAGCCAAGTCAATGATTTTGACGGCCCGCCTCTCACTCTCTCTTGCTGTGACTGATGACCGGGTGAGGCAGTGGCCTAGTCTCCCCCGGACCCCACCTACCATGACATTACTCTCCACGTTTCAGATCTGTCCGGGAACTATGTTGACTGTTTACCTGTGGGACCGAGTCACTTGCTTAGACTTTTTTTTTTGCTTCTCAATTATTAATATTACTTACTGGAATAAATAATTATTTGATTATGTTAAAACATGTCATTTCCAATTGATTTTGTCTACTTTGTCTTCCTCGTCCCTTTCACACTCTGCCTCCGTCTCCATGTAAATAATACATGACCGCTGCTTCTTCCTTCAATTATGTGATACGCAGAGTTTTACTTGGCAGTGGCTGACCCCCGCCCTTTTGTTCAAAGTCCACAGATTTGATTTCCATATATTGAACCTTCAATAAACTAATAGCTTGATCCTAGCATACGGCGATTAATTAAATAGTTATCAACTCATTAAATAACCCATTTCGTTTTTGTCACTTAGACCAAAGACTTCTAAACAAGGGCCTAATTCTTTACCTCGGAAGAAAGGGAGGCGTATTTACGTTATTATCATCAATAAAATTATATGCAATATTTAAATTTCGCCGCTCTCAAGTTGGTTTGAGTTTAGAATTGCAGTCAATAATATTAGTAAATAGTTCTTGTATAGTTGATATGTTTCGTTTAATATACATTTTCTGTTTCGATCAAAAAATAAATAAATAAATAATGGAGCCGCATAAGTACGGGTGATTAGTATTTTATGGGTTTTCTTGTACCTAATCCCTTTACTTTTTGATGGTGTAGCGATTTTCAAAGAATTGTGACGTTCTTGTTGTGTTGCTTTACTCCCCTTTAATGCTTGTTTTGAAAATGGCAAAGGTTTTTCTGCATCGTGTACCCAACATAGAAAAAACAACGTTCGACCAGCTTCCTTTCGTTTACCTTGACTAATTGAGTTTTCTTTTGGAAAGAAACTTCAACATCCAACCTTTGAACCTCTCCTTTAGGCTTTTATATATTTTAGCATGGGAAAAGTGTAGTCGTCGTCTCCTCGGCTTTCCATGCACTTTCACTGTTGTCATCGATCATATTCATGCATTTACATTATTATCATATATATGGGTGGGATGAGTGGACTAAGAATCCAACAAGTCGTGCGCAATTTCTCTTTAATTTCGCATGGGTAGGTTTGTGAAACTGGAGGGACTCTCAACACATAGAAAGAAGGGAAAGAATAGGGTTAAACATACGGCGCCCAAGGAAAGAAACGAAAGACAATTGGTTGTGGTATAACTTGGTAGGTAGGCACATATATTACGTACATTGGCAGCTTGGCTACCTAGCAGGTTTTAAACATGCTGTATTAGAATTTTGTACATCTAGTGAGAAACAAGTCCAACAAAACATGTGGAATATTATTGCGAGAAATCGAGTTTTAAATAATAATAATAATAATTAGAACCAATATGCAAAGGCGATTAGATTACAAATAATACATGATTCGTTTCATTGTGAATATTATAGAAAAGATTTGATCCTCAAGGAAAAGGAGCTGGCATTTCCAAATGTCAATAGCCTTGTGTACCATTACATTAAACTAGCATATATACGTACACTAATTAATTCATTGTTCCACACCGATCAATAAGCAAAATCAACATAGAAGAAAAAGACAGAGTTGACTCAGATTTCCGTTGACCGTGTGATACTTCCCACGTGGCTTACTTCATGACGTAGAAATTGGGTGTATGGTTAGGTTGGACAGCTAGGGTTTGAGAAAAAAACTAAAAATCATCAGAGTATGGAGAACCAAAGACGGCACCGATCGAAACAATGATACAATGATGCTTTCACACAATATTGATTGGTAACGAACCTTGATATTTCTCTGTCATGTATGCATGACAAGTAATTTGAGTCTTTTTTGTCCGCAAATTATTGGCCTGCCCTTCGCCTTTCTTTGTTTACTAACGCGGTTCAAACAGATTTCTCTGAAATTTCAAACCCAGCTATGGCCGACAAATCTGTGACAATCACAGCTACATGTATATACTATGAGATAAAACAAACAAAATTGAATGATTAATTCTTTATATATTTATAGGGTGAAATCAGAAGAAAATCCATCCTGATTTTTGAGTCGTCACTTGTCAGCTCGCCATCACATACATAAGAAATTGAAATCGAAATTGAAAATTCACCGAAAGGAAAATAATTTGGAAAACAAGAAACAAAAAGCTTCCCTGATTTGATGCTGGATGTCCTATGCCTGCATTAATTGATGACGCAAATGACGTTATGAAACTTGAAGGAGAGAAACTCTTGTTGGGTTTTTCCTAATAAACTACGTTAACTTATTATAAGAGGCTGAGGTCAAGTTGATCGTGAAATTTTAACTTTGAAAGAGACTCGGCTCCTTTTGGCCTTGTGCTTGCCTCAAGTGATAAAATGCTTTGTTTTGGGCTGCCATTATTGGTGGAGAGTTCGGGTCCAGAAATGATCTTATCAATACTACGAAAAAGACTCGCATAGAAAGATAAAACTTACACGAAAAGGAAAAATAAATATCATTTATATTCAGTATCTAATTTGACCAGGAAAAAATAATTAAAAAATAAAAGAAAAATAAAAGTGCTGTAGTCCTTCTGTAGGCTGGAGGAGGTGATGAATAATATGGGTGGTGTGAAGAGATTGGGCGGTCCTGAACCAAAATTCCAAAAGGAGCTGTGCTGGTTCTTATACTTGTGCACGTTTGCACCTCCCTAATGGGGAAAAGATCGGGTGTACGTAGACTTGGGGTAGAAAATTGGGCAGATGACGGTGGACTGGGGCAACTTTTGAATAAATTTCTTCGCATCATCTTTTTTTATGATGATAAGAAAAGGAGTGCCAATTGCCCAATCCCTATCCCTACCCTAAGAAAGAATTATAAGATATATATATATATTAATATATGCTTTTCTTTTCGCTTTCACACCAATTTTCTGGTATTGGTCTTAAATTTCAGGACCTACTTTTTGACCTCCATTCTTCTTCATTAATTCCTACTTCAAGACAAGACCTTGCTTAACTTACATGGATAAATCTTTTGCGTTAATTTCTACTCAAGTTTTTAAGGCAAAGTTTCCGGAGAATTTCATAGGCTAGATAGAATCTTTGGAGACGAAGCAATCTTAAACCATAACGATTTTGTATAGGGGAGATGAAGATGATGCATGCATGGTTTAATGGATTCGCCATATCTTTACTGGTATATATTTCCACTGCTTTTCAATGCCATTACCGCTTGTCTGCCTAACACTTACTTAGTCCCCTCCATGATCCATCTTTTTATATATGTGACATGTCTTTTCCAATATTGCATGATTCATTTCCATCTGCCTATAATAAAAATATCACGGCTGTCACACCAAATAACTAATTCAAAGTCGTACTAGAAGTGAATCCAAATCGAAACCAGGCAGTATTCAGTTGAGCCTACCCCCCTCCCCCATCTATCTTTATGAATAAATAAATAAATAAATAAATAAAGGCTTAAGTGCTACAGTACCCCTTGAAACATTGGTCAATTCTCACTTTACTCCCTCAAAGTTAAAGTGGATGTTTTGTATCTCACTTTGCCCCTCACCGTCAAGTCTGTTAAAAATTATGTTAAAAAAGCTGATGTGGCACCAATGGGACCCACTATTTGGCTAAACTAAGTGCCATGTGTGAAAAAAAATATTAAAAATTAAAAATTGTCTTTTAAAATTCTTAATTTAACTATTAAAAATAAAAATAATTCTTTAAAACAAAAAAATTTCCCAATTCCCCTTCCCCAACCCTATTATCCCTTCACAGTCGCCATCACCACAATTACCACAACTGCTGCTCTCTCTTCCTTTCACAGACCCAAGTTCCACCCCTGAAATTCAGTGTTGAATTCGTTACCTCACAAACTTCAACATTTGATACATCTCTGCCTCAATCCAACATCTTCCACTTTTAGCAAGACAAAACAAAGATTCAATTAGACTTTCTATGCATGCCAAGGCCCTAATCTGTTACACCAATTTTAGAAACATGGGTTGTATAAAACTCAGACCACCCTCACTTCCAGCCGCAACCCAAGCCCCACTCCCATCCCTAGCCCTTAAATCCAGTAGCCCCAACCCTCTACACAGTCGTCGACAACCCAGATGAGCCCTGGCCTCTTTTTCTATCAAACCTCCAGCAGCTACAACCCACCATCTCCATCTCGCTGAATTCGGAAGCCATCAAATTTGGTTGCAAACCTTCGAGAGCAAAACATCGAAAACAATGAATTTTTTTTTCTTTTAATTTGTTGATTTTTGAATTTGCAGAGAGAGGGGTGGTTGGGTTCGGCTGGTGGTGGGTGTGGGGCCTAGGTTGCCACTGATGTTGGGGGTAGTCTAGGTTGTTAGGGAGAAGAATATACAGAGGGGAGAGGGAGATCACAGAGAAAGAAAGGGAGAGAGAGAGAGAGAGAGGGAAAATGAGGGAGAAGAAATCTGGGAAGGGTGGCTTGGGGATGAAGATGATGGGTTTTTTATTTTTTTATTTTTTTAAATTTCTTATATTTAAATATTCATATACACCTAATTTATTAAGAGAAGGAATATTGGTGGGGGATGAGTGAGGTCAAAGCCTTCAATCCATAATTTTTAATTTTTTTTTTCACACATGGCATTTAGTTTAGCCAAATAGTGGGTCCCATTGGTGCCACATCAGCTTTTTAACAGAATTTTTAACAGACTTGACGGTGGGGGGCAAAGTGAGACACAAAACATTGGTCAATGTGGTAAAGTAGGTCACTTTAACCTTGAGGGGGTAAAGTAAGAATTGACCAATATTTCAAGGGGCACTGTAGCACTTTAGCCTAAAATAAAAGGGTCCAAGAATGCAATGTTATCTACAAATCAAAAACGAAATCAGTAACTTAAAAAAAATACAAAACAAAGAACAATCAAACCTGGTTAATTTTAGGATCTCTACTCTCCACCTGGTTTCTGCAAATTTGTAATGATATAATAATAAGAAAAAAAGTAAGTATTGCGCAACTTTTGATTGACTGTTTTAGAGAATTCACAAATCTGATTATGTTTTCAAATTATCATGCCTGTTTCCTCTTGATCCATCAATCTCAAAGACAAAAATAAGGAACAAAAATAAACATGATCGTTTCAGTGAGATATCGTTCGTGATCGAAGTAAGAAGCAAAAAGACTTGAATATGTTTAAGAACATGGATAAATACTGAGAAATAATATAAATTGGAGAGATTTTAGGACAATCGAGAAGAACATGATGTTGTGAATTAACATACACAAAAAAAGGGGTAATTACAATTTTGGTCACTGGAGTTAGGGTCGAATTTAATTTTGATCACTGAAATTTCAATTTTCCGATTTTGCTCACTATATTTGCAACTGTTAGCAAATCAGGTCAAATGTTCAAATGCGATGATGTTAGTTAGGAATTTATATTACGTCTATGGTTATGCTTTTATCTCACCCTTTCAATGATGTTAGTTAGGAATCAGGATAGGTGCCGCAAATCGTGAGGTGGACGAGTCTTGTAACAGAGCTGGTCTTCAGTTTCCTCCTTAAATTAACCTTCACATGGGCTTATATATTAAGAAAAATACGATTTTAACCAAAGCCCACGCCCAACTATAAAGAAAAAAAATATTCCAAGCCCAATGGTCACCCAAAGGAAATGGAAT